TATGGGTGTCCAGGGCAAGCGGTTTTGTGTGAAGGCTCTCCATATACAACAATGCTGCGACGTATTTTTATAAATTAAAAAAAAATACTTCTGATATCCGGATGGGTATGCAAATTTGAGAAATGAATTATCTCACATCTTAGATCTGAAAACCGATGAAAAAAAAAATTGGCTTTTTTTTTTAAAAAGGCTCCCCCCACTCCCCTCCAACTACGATTTTTGGACGACCAAGTGATTTTGCATTGCAAAGGTCTTAGGAATGATAAAAAATGGGTTTTACATTTTAGCAACAAAGTGCCCACGGGATAGCACGATAGGATCCCGTTTGAACTCTACTACCAGACAAGGACAAGAAAATGTTTTTCGCTTAGATAAAGGATCCTCGCATCTTCCATCCTTCACAAGTCCTGGGAGGAGTACATCCATATATCTTTCTCTGTCTTTGATTTTTGTATGAGAGGGCATAGCGTCTCCTCGAGTGGGTAAAGGGGTACGACAAATTATTTCTTCTCAAAATACTGAATGATGAGGCTGAAAGACCTGAATGGAGGTCGATATTAAGTTGGTATGTACAGATATATCAACGAAATACCTATACTATTCCTATGAAATTAGTCTCTCATATGTAGGTATATACAGAGAAGTGCACAAAAAACGGCCAGGACTGTAACTTTCGAATTATTCGAGATGGGGGTTTTGAAAATTGGTATGCAGCTAGTATACCAAATTACTCATTAATTGACGAAACCATTTTTGTTCTATCACTTCCGGTTTTACTGGAAACGACCCCAACTTTTGATTTTTAAATGGGACACCTTATATTGTATTCCATAATCGGTTAGGAATTTTCATAACGAATTCATCGATACCGGGTTTGATAGGGTTATTTCAAACGATTACGTAGATATTTGCGTTCTAAGTTTCCATAAGCTCAATGAGTGTGACAGAGAAAGAAGTTTTGATATTGCGCAGTCACACCCATTGAGCATATGGAAACTTCGAACGCAAATATCTTTGTAATCGTTTGAAATATCCCTATCAAACCTGGTATCGTTGAATTCGTCATGATAATACCTAACCGATTATGGAATACAATACAGGGTGTCCCATTTGAAAATCAAAAGTTGGGGTCGTTTCCGGTGAAACTGGAAGTGATAGAAGGAAAATTGTGTCATCAATTAATGAGCAATTTGGTATACTTGTTACCCACCAATTTTCAAAACCCTATCTTGAATAAATCAAAAGTTACAGTCCTGGCAGTTTTTCGTGCACTTCTCTGTATATACGTTCAGTTGAATATTTTTTTATCACAAAAGTTCAGAATAGGGTAAAAACTGATGAATTTCAAGCAATGAAACATACTTTTATTTCGTATGGAACAATTTCACTTGTACAAGAGTGGTAGGTAATAATGAGTAATCAATAAATGAACATGAATCATGCTCATATAAAGCAACATTTTTACTAATATTATGCAATTTGTTATCCAAATCTTCCATTCGTTTTTCCAAATGCAAAAGTTTTACATAGTGTTGTTCATCAAAACTATGAATTTTGCTCAAAATTGCCTGGATATTTGCTTGTTCAATTTTCTTGTATTTCTCTGAAGATATTTGCTGATTTTGTTTCAAATCTGAAATAATTTTCAGGTAATAGTTCTGAATTTTGCTAACTCTTACTTTTGTAACTAAATCTTTTTGCTTGAACTTATTTTTCAACTCTCTATTTTTTTCTTTTATTTGTTTTTCTTTCAAAATATGTTCGAAATGAATTCCATTATCTGCAAGCTTTACGTTTCTTGTTGGTTCTAAATTGGAATAAGGTTCTTTTCGATACTCGCTCAGTTTATAAATTGTGGGTTCGGCTATTTCTTCAACATCAAATCTTCCTTTCTGAAGTGTACCTGATGAAAATGCGTTGAAAAATGTTCTATATCTTACCAAGAAATTTGAATACCTCGCAAATTTTGTGCTCTGAACCTATATTCCATGCCGGCCGCATCATATTCTGTTTCAATTTTTGTAGAATTACGTTATCCGATGGAAATTCGAATAGGGTGAATTGATTTCCCGTGTTCTCACAGTTGTAAACTGCAAAAACTTGCATCTTCCTACTAATTCTCCCAATTGGTCAAGCCTTTGAGATTCATGTCATGTACGTCCGTGTACTCTCAGTTCCCGCTTTGTCCATCAATTTATTTGTGGTTATGTCTGAATGTTAGTGCTTGTCATAGTGTCCGTACTCTATTATACAAAAAACGTCAAAACAGCATTGTCAAGTACATTTAGGAACTCTATACGAAGCTACTGTGTTAGCGAAACATGTCGTGTGTTTGAGAATTTGTGGAAATCTTATCGTTTGTGAAGTTTTTACATTTGCCATCGATTTTCATCAAGTAACGGCCGAGTCAATTCCAAATTTAGGATTGTTGGCGTACTTTTTAATGATTTAGGAATGAATGGCGTTGTCAATTTATTGTTATTTAGTCAGAGCACTTACCAGCAAATGTACAAATGTCTGTTATGATCCCCACCATTCGAGATTTCATTTATTCATCCGTGATTGTCGTTTAGGATCGTTGGCGTATACTTTTCAATGCTATATGAATGAATCGCGGTGACATTCTTTTGTTATTTAGTCAGAGCACTTACCCGCAAATGTAAAAGTGTCTGCTACTATCTCCATCATTCGCAATTTCATTCATTTATCCGGTTTTGGCGTTTATGATTGTTGACGTATACCTTGTATTGATTTATGAATGAATCGCGGTGTCAATTTATTGTTATTTAATCAGCACTTAGCAAATGTACAAGTGTCTTTTATTATCCCCACCATTCGCGATTTCATTCATTTATCCGGGTTTGACGTTTAGGATCGTTGGCGTACTGGTACTGGTACTGGTACTGGTGGGGGACGTTTCCACGTCAGCAACTAGTCCCCAATGGGACCTTTTTGCAAACCCCAAGTGTTTTCAACGACTGATGTGGTTCGCTAAAGAGAGCTGGCTAACATCCTTTTCAGGCACCGCCCATCAGCTCTCTTTTCAGAGTTTTTCAGCTGTGTTTTATAGGCTAGTAATGCACTCACTACCATATGCGCAGTGGCAGGCCTGCTAACTATCATCGTTAACCCCCGAGACCGAGGTCTACTTAAGCAGCTGGCCCGCTCTCACGCTCAGCTGGTAGTTTTTCCACACCCACCTACATACACCGTCCTACTTCTTCTGTGATGCTCACAACCACATCATCATATCTTTCTGCGTGTTCTGTGTAGGCTTTGTTACTAACTCCATGCGCCACTTTAGGAGCAGCACTGTTAATTGGAACGCAACAGCGACTATCCCCAGCCGGTGCTCCGAAACTTTACAATATTTAATTCGTAAATAAAATATATCGTTGGCGTATACTTTTCAATGGTTTATTAATGAATCGCAGTGTCAATCTATTGTTATTTACTCGGTTATTTAGTTCGGGCACTTACCCGCAAATGTGAAAGTGTCTGTTATTATCCATCATTCGTGGTTTCATCCATTCATCTGGGTTTGACGTTTAGGATCGTTGGCGTATACTTTTCAATGATTTATGAATGAATCTCAGTGTGAATCTATTGTTATTAAGTCAGAGGACTCACCAGCAAATGTCTGTTGTTATCCCCACCATTAGCGCTTTCATTCATTTCTCCGTGATTATCTTTTAGGATCGTTGGCGTATACTTTTCACTGTATAGTATGATAGTAATACCAAGCATCGAAATGGATATCTTCAAAGGTATGGTTAATCCTGACAAGCTTTTGTTGGGCACAGTGAGATCGGCTTTTCTAGAGAAAAGGCATGCGTGTGTTTTGTTTGCATTGAAATCTATCAAGTTATTGGATCCTCATTCGAGAATTGTTGCCAAGTCCATATTTATGTTGTCAACATTTCTGCCACGTTCGTTTCTGATTTGCCTGGCTGGTATTGGAGCCCTGGAAGAGGAGGCAGTATGGAGATGAAGTTGATTTCAACAAATCGTTGATATGAAGTGGAAATAGTGTTGGTGCTAGAATTCATCCTTGCGGAACACCAGCATTTATGATAAGAGAGTCAGATGAAACTCCGTCGACCACTACATGGAGATACCTGTTTGAGAGAAAACTAGCTAGCAGAGAACATAGCTGGGGAGGCAAGTTATAAGATGGAAGCTTGGCGAGTAGTGGTGCCAGACTCGATCGAATGCCTTGGAGATATCAAGTGCCACGGCTAAGGTTCTCACCAGATTTTTCAATAGATTGTGCCATATATGTTAGACGTAAGTGAGCAGGTCACCGGTTGATCTCTGATGACGGAAGCCATATTGCCTATCGTTGATAAAACTTGAATGTTCCAGGTAATTCATGAGCTCGATGTTGATAGCTTTCTCCATGATCTTTGAAATAATAGATAGCAGTGCGATCGGTCTGTAGTTGCTAGGTAGGGTCTTTCTGCCTTTTTTAGGAACTGGTTGTACTCTTGCAATTTTCCAGTTGGACGGGAATATCCCCAGTATAAAAGTAGAAGTAGTTGAACAACTTGCAAGAGAACAGGTGTGAGTTCGGGAGCACATTTCTTGAGAACAATCGGTGGGATTCCGTCGGAGCCACAAGCTTTGTTGGTGTTGAGCTCCAATAAAATCTTCCATATGAATGAATCGCGGTGTCAATTCATTGTTGTTTAGTCAGAGCACTTACCCGCAAATGTATAAGTGTCTGTTATTATCCCCACCAATCGAGATTTCATTCATTTATTCGTGTTTGGCATTTAGGATCGTTGGCGTATACTTTTTAATGATTTATGAACGATTAGTGATATCCATATATTCTTATTCAGTCTGAGTACCCACCCGCAAATGTAAAAGTGTCTGTTATTATCCCCACCTCTCGCGATTTCATTCATCTATCTGTATTCGGCATTAGGATTGTTGGCATACTTTTTAATGATTCATGAATGAATCGCGGTGTCTATCTCTTGTTATTTCCTGCTCAGGAAACAACAACAGAGGCAGAGAGCGGCCGAGAGACCGCGACCGAGACGACGACGAGATCGACCGCAAGCGCAGAAGGGAGGAGCGGATGAGAGAGCGGGAGAAGGAGGATAAGGAGCGAGAGAAGGAGCGCGAGAAGGAGAAAGAGAAGAAGCAGTCGCCGGCGCGGAAGAGGACGAGGACGAGATCGAGGTCGCCGAAGAACAGGAGGCGGACAAGGGTGGTGCCGAGGTATAACGTGCAAGTGCCCAAGATCGCTTTGGATCGGTAAGTATCGATTGATTGTTGTGTTTATTACTACAAGAATCATATCTGTTTATATACTGTCTGTAGGTTAATCGAGGAGGTGGAACATTCATTATTCGAAATTTTTTGGGATTAAATAAAAATATGAATATTATTTCAATATATGTGTAGTAAGGACAAATCAGATGATTTGCCCCAAAATGTCACTGCGTTTGAAGAATTTTCCTATCAGAGAGCATAAATGAAAAATTCACTAGCTTGTCAGTGAAAATTTGTATTGAACAAAGTTTGGAGAAGAGAAACAAAGGTATATAGAAAAAATATGAAATTTTCACTTATCTTTGGACGTTTTGGGACCGAATCTGCTCCCGTTTTTCGAACATAAGAATGATTATTTTAATAGCAAAGTCGTATATGTATGTCTTGAAGATTTTCAGTTTTCATTGATAATTGTTGACTTTCTCAATCAAATGAGTTACAGGATGTTTTCATTATTCAATCTTGAATTTACCATTTTCATGTTCAGATTTTAGTAGTGAATACCATGTTCTGTCTATATCAACTGAACAAGAAGCAATGCTATTGTCTTCGTTCAGAAGAATGCAAGCAGATTCCTTGATTTTTCTCTTCTGGTAATCTTCTTTTCCAATGATTTTAAAACTATTCCACTCTGCCATATGTTGTCTGTCTTCAGATAAATTGAACTAGCTGAACATATCCTCATTTGAATTTTTCACATGAATTTTGAGGTTATGTGAAAAGAGTGTGGCTACAAAAGTTGTAGGTCTCTTTATTACCTACAACTTTGTCATTTAATATTCCTCCATAGGACTTGTAGTTTTGCCGCAAATCGAGATACACGGTTATTCACCCCTTCCGCTACCCGACCTCCGATCGCCTGTTAATTGTTTATCTTTTCATTTTTGTTATATTCTCGTCCCTTCTCAACGGGTTTCATCCTACTATTATTTTTTTTTTGTTTAAAAAATTATCGACCCTGGTCTATGAGTCCCTTGATGGAAATTGACGTTAAAGTCATATTAACAGGGTACGGACAGATCCTCGTCTCCTCTCACTCTGAAGTGTTTGTGAAACAATTATACAGGGATGGGCAAAACTATGGAACCAGGAGAATATCTCGGTAATCGCCTGTTAGATTTTTTTGAATATATGTATAGTGTGATTTCATAATGTGGTGGATTCGAAAATATTATCGTCAATGTGTGACATCAGTTTACCGCCGAGCTACTCACGTGCTTAGGTAACTGTAGTTACCTAGGTATCTAATATTTCCAGGTGATTATTATTATTATTTTAACTCATCTCAGGGTCACATGTTAGGGGTTCCATCTCAGGCCCATCTTTCGCCAGTAGCTCGATCAGTGCTCACAGGAGTTGATGACCTTGACGACTAACAAGTACAAAAGTACAAAGAAACCTGGTTAACCTGGGGAAGAAAAGTATTAGCTGTCTGGGCTTACAAGAATTAGGCACACTCAATTTAATCCAGATTATTGTCTTTATTAAATCCTGTCACTGTACTTTTCTCTATGACAATCAACAAAAACTTAATAATAATACTAATAAGTTCCACGAGGAACTGATTTTATCAGTAATCCAAAAGAAGAGATGATCCCTTCACAACACTCTTGGAGGTATTCACAAATAACGTGTGAATGCAACCTCTACTTGTGGTAATCAATTATTCAACTATATACAGGGAGTATGGATTAATCCACCCCAAAACCCCAACTATCACTAGCTAGATTAAATCGCCATGAACTAATAAATCTAACGTCATTAACTGGCACACGTCTCGAGCCACCCAAGCAAGATGGTGATGGTACTCTACCCAGGGTAAATGAAAGTAGGTATGTACTTATCTGAGTCTTAAGAACAAATTCTGTGTTTGGTAGCCAGGTGGTAACTGTTAGGCCCTCCAAAAGAAATACAGTATAGTCCCTACTGAGTACCGGGATGGACTGTGGCTATGAAGGGGGTAAGGGGAAATCCACATCAACGACCTTCTCACTCCGGAAACAACTTCTGATCAGCCAGAAATCAATATCACATTCAAACCAAGATTCGTTGAATTCTTTGCTCAAGAATTCAAGGTGAAAATTAAAAGCCTAGAAAAAAGATAATAATCACGCAACGCTATATTATACAACTGTGTAGCTTCAGAGTACCGCTCTGGAACACCGGCGTTACTTACCTCCACGTGATGGAAGCTTTTGCACATAACAAAAAATAAATCCAGCAAACGCTGTTTTTCACAGGATAGATATTCTCCAATTATCTCATCCCTTTGCCAACACTTGGTACAAATCCAGCTCACAATGCTGTATATTTTCTTCTCTCAAATAAAACCACTATCCCAAAGAAAATCTCAACCAAGATGGCATATCATGTACTTTGTGCGAATCGCCGAAATTCCTACCTTCACGGCAGAAAAGGAAAAGAGAGCGAGGAAACCAAATTGACCAGATCGATGATATCGACCGATCCCTCAAATCGCACCGAAGCAATACGAATGAAATCGATAGCCCGTGAACATGGGTGGGTTAGTTGGGATACGCTATGACCCTTTTTGTAATAAAAATATAAGTGAAATTATTTTCAAATAATAATTTCCACAAAAAACGCAGGATTGATCACGATAGCAAAGCCAACAAATATCAGATCTCGACCCACACACCACTACGCCCATGGAGGGAGCTAGTACTGTCTTTGCCACGTCACGAATGTCTACGCTGACAAGATTGACATATAACGACAACTGACATACACAATTAATTAAACAGAGTTTCCCGATCAATAATAACAATTCAATAATTGATTGTTTGAACACAATGAAATAATAACTAAACACCTATGGTTGGAGAAACTAAAATCAGGTGAGTGTACTTTAATTATTATTCACTTCACGATTTCTAAGTAAACTGTTTCTGTTCTGGTGATGAAGTAATTATTTCCCTTTTTTTTTCAGGGCTTGTGCATATGAAGAATGAATAATAAAATCAAGTAATACAATCAAGAAGATACCAACAGAACTTCCTAGACTAGATAAACCTGGACATCTATAGAAGTGCTCAACAAATGGATAGTCTTGCTGATTTCAGCCTCTACAGTGATGCAACGAATGTGTAGTGAAAAGAATGTGTAGTGAAAATTATGATCACCTGAAAGAACTATAACATATACGAAAACCAGTCTATGTAACCGAGGTGTAGTGATTTTTTTGGAAAACTGTTTATTACAAAAACCTTTCATTAAAGTTATTATTATAGCAAAACTATTCAAATTCATTTGGCAAGGTATATCAATTGAGAAACTCATTTTAAACTTGTAACAAATGTTGCCACTTTTTCAGTTATTCCGGAATTATTATTAACTTCCTTATTTCAAATAGAACACCCTGTATTTTATCGAATTTTCAGATTCTTCCTGAAAATCTGATTTCATCGATAGATCACACTTGGGGTCTAGCATGAATGATTACTGAGATATAGGCTGTTCAAAATCGAGATTTCTCAACTAGGATTTTTTTGTGACGAAACTATTCATTATTGGTCGAAACGGCTCACATGTCCCTGCGTCAACTTTTGATTAACTATCTACTGACATTTAATTGAAACAAATACAAGGTGGTTCAAGATTCAGAAATCTGATCACCCTGTATTTGTTCCCATTAAATACCAGTAGGTAGAAAATCAAAAGTTGAGATAGGGACATTTGAGCCTTTTTGAGCGATAATGAATAGTTTCGACACAAAAAAATCCTACAGTTGAAAAATTTCGATTTTGAACACCCTATATCTCAGTAATCATTCTTGATAGACCCTAAGTATGATGAAATCAGCTTTTCAGGGAGAATCTGAAAATTCAATGAAATATACAGGGTGTTCTATTTGAAATAAGGAAGTTGATAATAATTCCGGAAAAACTGGAAAAGTGGCAACATTGACGATATCATTTTCAAATCCACCACGTTTTGAAATCACCCTGTACATATTTTCAAAGAAATGTATCGCACGGTTACCGAGATATTCACCTGGTTCCATACTTTTGCCCAACCCTGTATAGTTCCATCCTTATTCAATTCTGGGGATAAACACTTCGAATATTAGAAATATCATATACAGAGCGAGCTGAATTCCAGAGTCAGATCAAATATCTTGTACCAATTGGAATATTATAATTTATTACAGGGTGAGAAGAAAAACCAGCGGCAGATTAAAATCTAATCGATGAATATTTAAAAAATACACAGTGTGCTTGAGACGGATGGATATTAGGAAAAAAACATATACAGAGAGACCTACAAAACTAACCCAAAGCCCAATATTGCAGTTCAACATTGAAATCACATTCCCATATTTATTTCTCTGTGGAGTTATTCCGTGAGTTTCAAAAATCGATTCAGCAACATTGAAACATAATACAGGCCATGTTTCCAGAAAGGTAGGTTAATCGATTTAATTGATTCTTGCTCTTTCTTGGAATGTCCAGTTGATGTGTCTTCTGAGGAGATGATGTTATAAAGCATGATATTGTTTGGAAATGTTGAACTTTCACGATGTTCTTCCAAAATATCGAGTCTTGCTTCCAACGAATCATATTGTAATGATATTCCCCTTGAAGGGGCTCTAGAAACATCAGCAGGAAGGCAGGAGTACAAAAATCATCCTGTAACACGCATCCTAGATCGTTCTCCAACCATCATATTTCCGAACACTCAATATATGCCGCGGTGACAAATAACGTGACAGAAGATTCTGGAATGTTCTGGAAACAATCGATGGAACAATTAGAGAGAGAGGTATTGTTCTAAGAAGCTTCTAGAACAAGAAGAAGGAGACGGAAGATCATTCGAGAACGTTCTCGAACCAAAGCCTACCAATGGATCTCATATATAAGACTGCGTCAGTCAGTCGAACAGCGAGTGTCAGAGAGACAGTTATATACCGCGTGATATAAATCGTTTTACATAAATATTAGTCATAAGTTCGTTATAAATTA